GGGGGTTGGGGTAGGCCCTGTTAGGGCCCTAGCTATGGGCAAATATTGAACCCCCAAAGAGAAATCAACAGTACATTTTTATAATATATTTTTATAGCAAAATGGCAATCAATGCAGCACTGAAAAATATAAAAATACATTTTATAATAAAATTACCAACTATAATTTTTATGATCTACAAACTATATATCTAAAAAAAAAACATAGCTTTACCCTGAAAGCATAAAATTATGTACAAGGTATCTGTACTTAAAAGCATCAATGTTTGTGCAGGACATTTTTATTTCGGCATTAAATAACCCATATAGGTGTTGATATGCCGCTCAAAGAAATCAAACAAACCAACCCTTATTGATGTAAGAAGTTGTAGCACCTGTTAGGGTCCAAGCTATAGGCAAATAGCAAACCTCCAAACAAAGAAAAATCTTTATGAACGTATAACAATATATATTTATAGTAAAACTATAAACAATACATTTTTACATGAAAAAATACAAACAATTCATATTTATAGTAAAATGACCAACAATACATTTTATCTGTAGTTGAAGGCATACAATTGCGTTCAAAATATATTTAGCTGAAGACATAAAATAATGTTCAAAATTTTAGATTTTAGCATTAAAATAACCTACAGAGATTTTCTGTAGTGAAACAAATTCAACCAACCAACAATACCAAATTATAGCAAAATTACCAACGTTATCTATTTACAGTAAAAATTACTAACAAATTGTGTTCGAAATATTTAAACTTCAGCATTAAAAACCCATAAAGGTGTTGATATACCGCTAAACGAAATGAACCAAGCAAACGATATAACCGTTCAGTATTCTTTTCTTGGTTTGTAAGGAATATTTTCTGTTAAATAATGATTCTTTGCCTATCATGTCTTGAGAAATAAACTTCCAGGCGTGTGCAAAAATTATAGCAGTCTTTTTGAAAATACACACTTTAAAATATTTTTTGATGGAATCTTGTGCATACAATACATAATTTGGAATAATTTCTAAGTTAAAAGATCATGGAAATTATCTTTTAGAGTCCCTTCCTCGCAAAAAAAAAAAAAAAAAAAATAACACGGTAATTTGCAATAAATTTTATAGTAGAATTATCAACAATACATTTTATCTGTAGTTGAAGGCATACAGTTTTGTTCAAAATATATTTAGCTGATGCCATAAAATTGTGTTCAAATTATTTAGATTTCGGTATTAAATAACCCATAGAGGTTGATATGTCGCTAAACAAAATCAACCAACTAAAAATCACATAACCTATCTTCAAATTTGTCTGCAAATAAAGCAAGAAGAACAAGCCAAAGAGTGTTATGCCTGCATAGAAAATAAAAGATATGAAAAATAGTGTGTTGTTACAAAGTGTGAACAAGTCCATTGTATATAGAATACTTCAAGGAGCGCCATAAGATTAAATTTCCCACTTTTCTCTATTTCTAAAATCCAAAAAGAGTTAAAATATCGTTTTTATAGTTTTTAGAAATAAAGCAAAAATAAGCCTCAAAATGACTATCCACTTTTAACCGTTTGGCGTGTGCATGTTCGGGCCAAAAACTTTTCATGCCGTTTCATTGTTAAATAACCAAACAGGTGATGGCATGTCAAACGAAACCAAAAACAAAAGCCCTACATTGAATATACTTACCTGGCACATGCCGGGGAGAGTTTATCATCTCTCAGTTGTGGCTCAGTCGGTGGACAGATATGCAGCTGAGGAAAATAACACGGTGAGGTGCCCAGCCATGGGGAACAGCTGCCCGAAGTTGCATTTTTTCATGGGACTAGAGAGAGGGCTCGGTGCTCGACACCGAGGCCAGTGAAACGAACAGCTGCAGAGGCTCGGGAAATTTTTGTACTTAACCCAAATGTAGACGGTCTGGTTCCCAACAATAAATACGACCTTGTATCACATTCGATAGCGATGTGCGCGCAGTGGAAAATACACTTACATTGACTATCATTGACAGGCCTTCTTCTGATAAGATTGAATATTGCATGAGTTTTCGACGTGTCTTTCCTGATTAAATACTTAGAGATTTGGGGATTTTTTTTTCTTGTAAACAAAAACTAATGTAATGTCGAGATTTTAAATTGTTTGGAAGGTTTACTTTTAATAAAAAAGATAATATGCAATCTCGTGTTTTGTAAAGTTCTAGAACGAATTACCGCTGATACACATACTATGAAACACTGTCTTAAGTTATCGCATTTTAGCAACATGGCCCGGGACAGAGAGGAGCCACTCTGGTCTCAGAGCTTCGAGACTGAAAGCGTTTTTTTTTATTTTGTAAGAATCTATGTTTGACGCAATGAGACCAACATTCTCCATCTTCTTTGTCTCACTTTTTCCACTGACATGAAGAGCAAGGACTATAATGGAACAATTGCTTCGCCTATTGCAAGAAAAGTTGGGTCACTGTGTCGTATCAGGATTTTTCTCGTCAGAATCCATCTTGCACATTTACAAATCTACCATTCGTCCGTGCATTGAATACTGCAACCATATCTGGTCTGTTGTTCCTGCTGTTCATCTCAAGATTCTTGAAAATATCCAAAGAAAGATCTATAATGTAATCAATCCTGACTTGACATCTTGACTTCATCCACTTTCCCACCGCTGTGACGTGGCTTCCCTCTGTCTTTTCTACAAATATTTCATGACAACTGTTCCGCTGAGCTTTTTTTCCCTTCGTGCCACAATTTCCTGTCCTTTTTAGCTCTTAACAATGCTTCTTCTTCTTCTTTGTGCTGTGTCACTTCAAGAGATGGACAATCATGGCTCTCCACAATCCACTATCATTTGTACCACTTAGTAAAGTTTGTCGCTTTGCGATCTCTCCTAATCCCTGTTCTTGCCAACCATTTACACAAATTCGTAAGGCAGATTATGCGCGGTTTTCCTCTGTCGTTCTTATCTTCAACATGTCATGTGAGTGTTAAATTTCCTAAGCTTTTTTCCTCATTAATTACCTTATTACCGTTATGTTGCAATTTTCTCCAAAACTTCCTCATTACTCACATGTTAACTCCATGATATTCTTAGCCGTCTATGAGGAGATGGTCCAGTAATCATTGCCATATAAGAGGAACGATATCACATAATAGTTAAGTCCTCTTTTCTTTGTTTCTAAAGAAGATTTGTTCTTTGATTAACAAAATAATTAAAAAATAAATATTTATAAGTCAAAGAAATGGACAAAGATCGATTGCGCAAGTGTTTCTGAAATATTTTATTTGCCGATGCATTGATTAGCGTTTCGAGTTTAATAAGCGATATGTTTAGTTGGGAATAGAAATAATTTAATCCGGGTGCAGAAGAGGGATCCTTCGCTAAAACCAACTGATTAAAGATAGGAAAAAGGGAAAAGACGACATAAACAAAATTTCCTCAAGAAAATATATAAGACAACAAAATTGAAAAGCTAAAACCAAACCAGAAAATAATTTTTAGATTTTCAAAAACGAAGCACCAGAACTGAGCTTAATTTAAAATCCAACCTGTAAACAGATAAGGTATAATTGTGTATTCAATAAACAATTTTGCTGGCGTTAAATTAGAGAAATTTCTGAGTTATCAGAACTTGAATGCAAAACGGAGAATCGTCATATTGAATTTTCACTGACGTAAATTAAATGGAGTTATAACAACTACACAGGAATCAAAAGACTGATGTCGACCCTGACAAATAAATCTGGAATCAACTCGCTGGAAGTATCAAGTCACAGAGACAGATCAATTACAAAAAAGATTGAGATACAGCTATTCAACCCTAAAGAATGAGATATAGCTATTCATCTCAAAAGATTGAGATACAGCTATTTACACCTAAAGATTGAGATGTAGCTATTCACCCCTAACGACTGGGATATAGCTATTCACCCGTAAAAATTGAGATAGTGGTTATTTACCCCAAAAGCCTGAGATGTAGCTATTCATCCCTAACGACTGAGATGTAGCTATTCACCCCTAAAGAATGAGATATAGCTATTCACTCCTAAAGATTGAGATATAGTTATTCACCCCGAAAGATTCAGATATTGCTATTCATCCCTAACGATTGAAATATAGATATTCATCTTTCCAAAACAGGATTTGTGTGAATGCAATTATTAAGGGAGTTAAGAGTTGTACAAATCCATCCTGGTCATTACCTAAACGGGTGATCGCTTGGGAATACCGGGTGAAAGCTATTCAGCCTCCCTTTCTTTGTTTCTTTTGTTCTGATTCTCATTACTTTGTTTAGCCTTTAGAATAAGTTTTTCGCTTATCCATAATTTGAACACACGAAAAAATGGCGAAAAATATCTGGCCATACCTATAATGCTAATGGTAACAGTAATGTAAATGATAATAGTGAAAATATTCGTTGATTTACGCTTGATAAATTCTTAAGAGAAATATTTTTCAGAAAAATTGACTTCATCTTTATATTAATTGTAAATCCGTACAAACCTTAAGTTGTGTGGAAAGTCACCATCTTTAATATATCCTTATTTTGCTTTACAGTTGTAAGTGCTATCCATTTTAAGTTTTGCTGCTGCTGGGAGTCTTCAATTATTTTTTTTAATTGGTACTGTTCTATGCTTATGATTCTATAAGATCTGGTGAAGGAATGTCTTCTTTAAAGCATAGAAGATTATTTCGCTTGAAGCCATTTTAATGATTGATCTGAGAAGACGTTTATAAATGGCTGACAGTTGAAACATTTCTGAATGAGTTTAATGTCAAGCATGACATCCATATTAGAGCCTCGATCTGACGATGCTGTTTAAGAACATGAACCATATTCTCGAGTTAATATTTTAGCTTTAAAGCATCTTACATTCTGGGACAAAATTATGCCTAGTGCAAGACAATCTTATGCTCAATTTTCTTATTGCCTAAATTAAATTTCTTTATAAGTATCTGCACGTATACATACTGTGAGTGCCGTAAAAGGTTTTGTATTGGGTGATACGGATTATGGAGGCATCTTTCGCTTCACGACCATATCACGTTGAAACACTGTTTCTAGTACGATCGCCAAAGTTAAACAACCTCGAGCTTGGTCAGTACCAAGATGGGTGACCGCTTGGAAATACAGGATGTGCAGGTGGTGTAATGAATAACGGCTCTTTATTTAAAATCAGAGAGCCGGGTTCTAATTGCAGTTGGGTTCATTATATTCACTTACACGCAAATAACCGTGAAAAAGATATGAATCCACCCCTTCTCTCCCCCCAGCTATGGATTAATTAGTAGAACTCGTATCGATAAATCATTATTATCTCGAAAGAATTCTTACAGCCTAAAGTATTTCCTGAGAAATATATGAATTTCCTGTTCCAGCTATGGATTAAATAATAGGACTTGTATGTGAAAAATGCTATTCTAAGAAAAATTGTTTATGAAATATTCCCTCGCAAAGAAAAGAATTATTATTATAATGCAAAATATGTTTCGGCTTCAAATAATTCACAGCGGGTTGATAAACCGTAAAAAAAAGCAAATCAATCAACTTTTCTGAATCTGTTGGACGCTATGTATGACATCCATATGAAATTCTAGATCTGACGGGTTTAAGAATCTGACTCGAGTTTCAGGTTTATATTTTGTTTTTGTAGCATCCTACGGGATCCAGAATAAACTGCCTTGTCGGATAGGACTTCAGAATATGCTGACTGCACCTCTGCAGAGGGTTAAGAAGCCCCAATAAAGTCACCTGTTTGACGTGGGTGGCAACCCGTAATGCCTGGGGACGGGATCCTGGTGGTTGAGGGCTTCAGGAGTCAGGGTTAGTTACTTCTGATTCACAACAATTCATTTTGGCCCGGTCAGAGAGGCCCGATCTGATTAATCGCCTGGTCATGATAAGCCATAGCGCCTATAACCATATGAATTTATGGAGTACTTTATGACTAAAAACAATACCCCAAATATACACTGGGATAAAATACGACCTCTATCTAATTTATAGGCGTTAGAAGGCTTGAGGGTCAATCGAAGAGATCTAGATTAAGACATGGCTGTGTATATGCCGCCAATTTGTACACTTAAGATTAGGGAAGTGCAACAAATGGTTTAACGGGGGCTCAGAATCTTTCACGATTACGAGTAGACTGGTTCGTGTAGCGTTGACCTGTCAAGGCGACTGGGTTTCCCCCTTGAGACGTCCAAATGTCGGGCTCCGAGGTGAGGGGGACACAAAAATAATTATCAAAATAAAAAGTCCAAGAGATGTCTTTCAGACTCTAGAAAAAGAAATTAATATGGGTTTTCCAAGGTTTTTTTTGTGATCACGTCCCTAGAAGAAACTCAGCTGGCAAAATTTTCCCCTTTCTTGATTGAAAAAAGTTATCAAAACAGATTAGAAATTGAGAAACAACAATTCGCTAGTAGAAGTGAAAAATAGGAAACACGCTGAAAGGTTAATTAAGATGAAGACTTTTTATAACCTCAAAATTAAAACCTTCCCCTTCAAAAGGCTGAACACTTCTAAAGAAGTCATTAGAAGCGGACAGTTGTCTCTGGCTACACCTGAGGAAATCACATCTGTCCTAAAAAGCCAGGCGGTCAGTGATTAACGTAGAATCACAATAAAAAGAAAAGAGGAAACAATAACAACAGACATGCATATCCTTACTTTTGTCACAACTCAAATCCCTAGAAAAATAAAAGTCTGCTACAATATTGAGCCAGTGGAAGAATATATTCTTGCTCCAATAAAGTTCTTCAATTTCCAAAAATTTAGACATCGTAGGGATAGCTGCAGGAGTGGCCGAACATGTGGCTAAAGGGATTCTGATCACAAGGAAAAAGAATGCCATTATGAAGACGTGCTAACTGCCAGGGAAACCATCCAGCATGCTCACAATCAGGCTCACAATCAGGCGATTTCTGGAAAAGGAGATAGTCGAGGTGAAAGATAAACAAAATGTCTCATTCATGGAAGCAAAGCCAATAGTAGAAAGCCATATGAAAGGCCCTTCCTGTGCAAAAATAACGAAAAAAAATGACCACAGCGAAAACAGTCAACCTGGCAAATACAGAAGGGGGGGGCTCAGTGGGAAACTCGTACACTTACGACCAAATTTCAAAACAACCTGAAAGACATATATTCCAAAGAAATAGTACAAGCTGAGCCACAAATGAATTCCAATGAAACGATTGAAATAATAAATGAAGAAAAACAAATACAAAATCTACCGCTCAAACACAAACCCCCTCTTCTAAAAATACTAAATCTCTTGCAAAGCAAAGGTCACAGGGACTGCCTGTCTGTCCATCAAAAGCCATTAAAGACAGGCTTAAGAACTTATCTTCCAATAGAACAGAACCATCCAAACAAAAACCAGAAATTCAAAGTGGCCAAATTCCTACCCAAAATAAAGTGGAAGAAATGGAATCAAAACCTTCAAACTGCCAAGAGCTTCAAACTCAAAAGCATAGAAAATTAAATCACAACCACATACTAAGCTGAAATCCGAAAACATTTAACAATCATGTATCAAATAATTCAATGGAACTGCCGTGGAATAAAGGCAAATATAAATGAACTGCTTCTGCTAATAACAGATCTGTTAGCGGCAGATGTCTGCCTTCAGCAAAATGACAACCTGAATATAAAAGAATACTCTGGGCTTCGAGCGTCAGGCAGTACATCCATCCTAGTTAGGAATGGTGTACCTCAAAGCCAAATAAATTTAACAACTACTTCACAGGCTAATTCTATTAAAGTGACCTTACACGGGACAATAAACATTTGCTCAGTGTACATCCCAGCGAATGAACCACAAAATGAAGCTGAAATTCATGAAATCATAAAATAACTCCTTGAACCTTTTATGATACTAGGGGACATTAACTGTTACAGCAACATACGGGGTTGTAATGATACAAACTAAAAGAAACAATAATTGTTAACAACCATTTATGCATTTATAATGATAAAATGCCGACTTGCATAAATTCATTTTCTTACAGCTATTCGGCAACAGACTTATCCGTATGTGATTCATAAATTTACATGGATTTCTCTTGTAAGGTACTGACAGACACATGCAGTAGCAATCACTTGACAATCGTCTTACAAAACTCTGAACATAATGACAAAAATTCTCTTCGTCGGAAATTAGGCGGAGCCAACTGGGAAGAATTTAAATCCAATGTTCTGAAAAACTAGTTGAAAAAAGCATCAATGACTTAAAACATTTCACGGAAATCCTCATCTCAGTAGCTAAAAATGCATTCCAAAAGATTCAGCATAAATAAATAAAAACGCAACAGACCTTAATCCAATGATAAATGTAAAAAAGCCATCAGGTTAAGAAGAGCAGCTCTGACAGAATTCAAAAAACAACCCACAGCCTCTAATTTTCAGGAATTTCAGTTCCTCCGATCAAAAGCATGGAAAATAATGAAAGAAACCAAAAAGAATGCTGGAAACAGACTCAATTCTTCTACAAAAACAAAATCTGTCTTGAATATGATAAAGAAAATAGCAGGCAAATATCAAACAAACACTGTAAAACACCTCTCAATAAATAACTCTCGAAATAAGCAGCAAAAAGATTATTGCTGACTAGACAAAAAAAGAATCACTAAAAATTCATCAGCCAAGAATGATAGCCAACAATTTCTAAAGCTCAAATAAAAAGCAACGAAACAAAAACTAAACTTTGAATCAATATATACAGATATAACCTACCATTCATCTTAGAGGAACTAAATGAATCCTTAAAGAAAGTCCACAATACCACTGTGGGCCCAGATGATATACACTACAAACTCATAAAACAGTTACCCAACAAATCATTACAACTGTTATTAAAAATGTATAATAACATATGGAGAAATGGCAACTTCCCATCGATGGGGAAACATTCATTCATCATCCCTATCCCAAAAAATGATACAGACCCTGAAAACTACAGACCAATAGCATTAACCAGTTGCCTATGTAAAACCATGGAGAGAATGGTCAACAAAAGGTTGACTTGGTATCTGGTAACTAAAGGCTTAATCAGCGACTTCCAATGTGTTTTAGAAAAAAAAAACAAGCACCATGGACCACTTAATACACCCAGAAACCTTTATAAGAAAAACCTTCATTAAGAAGAAACATATCACGGCAGACATCTTTGATTTACAAAAGGCGTACGATACGACATGGAAAATCGTTATCTTGAAAAAGCTGCATGAACTGGGCCTTAAAAGGGAGGCTGACTCAATTCATAGAGAGTTTCCTAGGAGACCGAAGTCTTCAAGTCCATATAGAAACAACGCTATCAGAACTGCAAAATCAAGAATTGGTTCCACAAGGAAGCAATCTTTCAGTGACCCTATTTTGTGTAGAAATTAACTCTATAATTGTTGTCATGATATAACCCAACTTCCCCATTCACGATAATGGACGGACTGGTTGCCGATTAAGTACGACCACAGCGGACAGTCGTCAAGTCTTCGTTTGTTAAAACCTATTGAGGTTAGCATACTCCCGACTCTGTCTCTGTACTTGACACACCTACATCCGATTATAAACCTATTATTGAAAACCAACACTCGGGTTACTTTGTTTATTATATTTTGCACGAGATATAACAGCTGGCGACGAGGATTGTGCAACGTCCTTACTTAAAAAAATGTATATATATATCAGATTACGCTGAACGGATTTCGGAAGCAGATTCGCAAGTCAAAGATATCAGTTGACGCCGATTAGGATTTCGAAAGCGGGGTCACAAGTCAAAAGGAAACTTTTTGAAAAGTAAGAAAATTTTTACTGTTAAATTGTGATTTGAAAAATATATATTGAACCGCGACTCAAATGCGAGCCGGTCTAATAATTGATTATTCAAGTAAAAATTACGGGTTGTAAAAATATTACGGCTGTAAATTGTCTGTTAACCGTCTAAAAAAAAAAAAAAAAAAAAAATTTTTGTCGAATTCTAAATAAAGTCAGGATGGAGCAATTAGTCGAAATAACTAAAATGCTGTGTACAAGCTTGCAACAGCAACAACAACAGCATCAAGAGTTACAACAACAAATACTGCAACAGCAAAAAAGTCTCGAAAAAATTCTGAAACAAACGACTGGAGAAAGAAAA